GGACCAGGACACGTGGGACCCACCTGCACAGCCACCACCAGCCCTGTGACCTGCGCGTGTTTTCATGTCCTGACTGCCGAGGGGACTCGTGGGGAGTGTCTGCCCTACTCCGCCATCAGGGAGATTCACTGGCCAACAGTGTGAAATGACTGAGGTGTCCACCAGGGCTGTGCTTCCCTGGGAGATCTGCCCCCAGTGGACAGCGCTGGACCCACGGAGTGAGGGGCCAGGCCAGGGTGCAGGGTGCCCACGGGACCAGGCATCCCGGCATCCGTGGTCCTTGAGACCAAAGCTCCCGGCTCGTGAGTGAGAGGGGAAGCCCGTGGGGCAGGCGGCTGGCCTGGACCAGCAGGTTCTCCGTGGGTGTGTGCCCCTGGGGCTGACGGCTCCTGCTCTGCTGTCCTCTGTGTTGGCCCCATCCCTGGGCATCTTTCTGCTGGGAGAGAAAGATGGAGAGCAGCGGAGCGCGTCCTCGCAGACGAGGGAGTACAGTTTCCTAGGGCCTGCTGTGGGAGACGGGATGGCCGCCGAGCTTTCCTCACCTTGCTGCGCATGCCCAGGAACCTCCTGGGCTGGGAGAGGAACCATCCACAGAAGAGCTAGCACTCCTGTGCTTCTGTTGAGCTGCGGGGCAAAGGGCAAGGTAGCTGGAGGGGTCTGACCTAATCAGGTGAGGCAGAGTTTGGTCCAGCTGGTTGCTGGGCAGCAAGTCAGGGCTATGGGGAGAAAGCAAACGTCCCCCTTGGGAACTACTGAGGGGGCCGCCTGGCAAGGAAGTGCAGGATCCTCTGGGATCCCAGGGTGGCCCCTGGCCAACAGCTAGCAGGACACAGGGACCTCACTCGAGTAGGTGAGAGGGAAGAGAACTCGGCTTCAGTGGAGCACAGCGCTCGCTGGTCGACACCTCGAGCCGAGAGTCCAGCTGGGCCAGGACTTCCGACTTGCTTTACCGCGAGGTCATAAACCTGGGTGGCTTTGGTCACTCAGCATGTGGGCATCTGCTGTGTGGAATGGAAAGCTAACGCAGTCACCAAACCCCGTGCACGTCCCGTTCTTTGGTTGCAAACCAACAGAAAGCAGCTCTTGGCACTGTCACCAGGACATGGGGGCATTAATGCTGGACAGGCAGAAGCATCCCCGCACTGTGTGCTCTTCCCCACCACCATCCCAGTGGCCGGGTGGACAGAGAGCTGTGACTGGCCAGGCCTGGGTCCCGGGACCACCCTGGGCTGCAGGGCTGTGAGTGAGCCACCTGAAGCCCACGCCTGGGCCAGAATTGATCAGGATGGGGGCAGGGACAGAAGGGTCGCTGGGCCTGGAAAAGCCCATTTCCTGGGAAGCCAGCGCCAACCGAGACGCAGGCTGGCCTCTGACGCCGCTGAGGAGCCCAGCAAGTCCTTTCGCCTTCCAGGTCTCGATTCTCGTCTTGCAAAACAAGGGGTTCGACTAGATAATTCCATCCCATCTACCTGGACGAGATGCTAGGCCCTTCACGCGGGTGGGGGACTGATGAGGTTTGCTTTCCTGGCTGGAAGGACAGGGTCCTCCATCGGCGCTGTGCTGTGAGGGCCTAAGAACCAGTGCCCGGGAGTGGGGTGGGTCTGGTGTCGGCTTCCCCTGGCCAGTTTCAAGCCGCCGGGGATGTAACAACCAGCTTGAGACTTTCCTGAGAACGTAATGGTCAGCTCGTGGGCAGACACAGGCAGCTCCAGCATGCCACCAATTATAGCTACAAGAGTGACTCCGAGTGTGGATTCGGAGTGTGGGTGGGAAGGGTGAGGGAGGCCGTCTTGTTTAGGGCTAGGAGATCCCTTGTGGAGCCTGAAGACACATTCCACACGCCGCCACCCATGGGCCACAAGCCAGGCAGACAGTCTGGCCATTGTCTCAGCCTTCGGTCCCAGCCGGTGGGGACCACTTGGGCTCTGCCCCTCCTCCAGCTCTGGTAGGACAGGAGAGGGTCACGGAAGTGGCCGGGAGCCTCGTGTAGCCCTAATTCAGCACCTTAGAGAGCGGGTGCCGCTGGGCTGATCCCCTTCCCCCCGTCCCTCTCTGTGACAGTGGTGGGCTCCTGCCGCTGGTTCATGCAGGGACCCCAGATGAACAGCCTGGGTGCCCACTGAGCTTGCATGCACTTCTGGTCCTTCAAGTTGCCTAAGGCCTGGCCTCTGGCCCCAGGACTGACCCTCCCCCAGGTGGGAGTGAGGGGTCCCCTTCTCCATGCTGTTAAATCCCACCGCACCCTGGGTCCTGGAGAACAGTGATTAAGGCCTCAGCAGAGCTTGGGGGTCACGCACTTCAGCACGCTGCCCGGGCAGAGAAGCAGCACAAGGGGACTCTGAGGCTTGGCCAGCGTGGCCCGGTAGGTGTGGACGAGGCTGCACAGTGAGGGGCGTTTGCACCAGGTCTGAAAAGGAGGTCCTCAGGAGGAGAGTAGAGAAAGGCCTCCGGCGGAGGGACCCCGGGGTGGGGGGCACAGAGCACAGTGCAAGCACCCAGGCCCAGAGGGTCCGGCCCTGCGCGTGGTGGCCCCTGGGAAGCAGCATGCACTGGACCTCCGTGGCCTGCAGCCCTGGACGCCGGCTCAGGATGTTGGCCAGAGGTGGGGGGCTCAGGTGCTGGTGGTGCTGTCCCATCAGGGGGCCCCAGGAGGCGTTGACTCTGTGACGCTGAGGACAGAAGCCAGCCCTCCCTCTTGTGCCTGGTCTCTGATGACCTGGGAGTCAGGAATCTCGAGGTGGCTTGCTGTCTCTGCAGCCTGGACAAAGGTCTTCACAGTGGGCACTCGCGAGTGTCAGAAGCCGCGGGGGGACTCTCAAGTGCCAGGCCTTGGGGGAAGGGGCAGAGCCCCTTGGGGAAGACCCTGTTACTCCTCAGACAGCCTCTGGCCTCGCTGTCTGAGGACCTCAGAAGGAGGCACCTGAGGGCCATGGCTGTGGTGCTGTCCCCACCTCTCCTGTTCTCCAAGAAATAGGTGCCCCTCCCAGGAGCTGTAGAAAGAATTGGAAGAGGGCGTCCACCGCCCCTCTGTCCTGGGGAGTAACTCGGGGGCACTTCCGCACCAAGCTGCATCCCCAGCCCTTCTGATCTTGGGACAGGGTCTTGCTAAATTGCTAAGGCTGGCCTGGAACTTGGGATCCTCCTGCCTCAGCCTCCCGAGCCCTGGGATTGTAGGCGTGTGCCACGGAGCCTGTCTCTGAACTGTCCTTGTAAACTGCAGAATATGGTGCTTTGACTGGCCGGGGGGAGGACTCGGCCTACAATGGAGCCCATGGCAGTGGGAACCGCGCTCAAAGCCCGCCACCAAGGCTTATGGGAGTGTGGCCTCCTGGAGGGGGATGGGTCGCAGTTTCTGAGAGGCGCGCAGGAGAGGCAGGCAGGCCCACAGCGGCTTCGTCCGCATCACTTACTGGAAGGCGCTCACGGCTGCTGGCCAGGTGTCCACCAGGGTCTTACCCCTGCCCCTGCCGGATTCCTCCACTGCGAAGTGTGGGCCTCGCTCCAGGAGCCAACCAGCCCCCAGTGCTCCCAGGGCCCGGGGCAGAGTGGAGAGCCCTGCCTCTGTGCCCGTCCTCCCTCCCTTTCCTGTCACAGAGGCTCTGCGGGGGCCCGGATCTCGTCCTCCTGAAGGCCATGACTGACCGGCTGTGACCCATGCTGGGCCAACAGAGCTTCCCGAGGTTGACGAGGGGCACTGAGTGTGTTAATCATGTATCCACGAGTCACACTGCCGTCAGCTCTGTCCCTTCAGCAATCTTCTAGTTGCCCGTGACTCGTGGGTGGGATGGGCTGCTGGCCCACTGGGTGGCTCCGGAGGCTGCAGCCTTCGGTGGTTCTGAAGGGACAAGCAAGGGGCAGGTGGAGATGTCCCCAGAGCCCAGCAGTTCATCTCACATTTAGCCCGACTCTGAATCCAGCTCTGCCCTTTCCCCACGAAACAGTCGAGGGCCTGGCAGAACGCTGACCGTGCTCCCGTGCGCGCGCTGGGGCTGACCTGGCCATCAAGGTGGGAACTGGATACACGTGGGACAAGAACTAGCCAGCAACAAAGAGGCAGAGCGAGGGTCAGACCAGAGACAAAGCAAGCTCCAGCGGCTGCTGTAAACACGCCCCCGACCTCAAGCCTCGAGCTTCCTGCCGAGCGCCAGGCAGAGTTCTCACAGGGCCCGTGGCCCTCCACTTCCTGAGGCGGAGGCACACAGAGCCGCAGGGCCTCCTTCAGAGCCCAGGCTGCTCTGCCATCGTCCTCTGCCCTGCATCTCCTGGGAGAAAGGACAAGATGAAGTGGGAGGCGCTAGCCATCGCGGCCATCCTGCAGGTGTGGTGCCCGGTTACAGGTAAGGTGCTGCCCGGCGGCAGGAGCTCAGACCGTGTGCTGGGGTCCTCGAGGGCGCGAGGGCCGGCTGTCGGCCCCTCCTGCTCTCCCAGAATCAAGGGCAGGGAAGCCCTGCGCTCCAAACTGCAGCCCAGGGTCAAGCTGCCCAGAGCGTGGATTGCCCGGTGATCAGAAGAGACAGGAGGGGGCAGGGACGGAGCCCGAGAGCCACAGGCCGGCCAGCTGGGACAGAGGGAGTGTGGAGCAGAGCCAGCCTGGCGTCAGCCAGGCCGCCTCATGCTGCGACGTTCCGGCCACCGTCCCCTCCCGTCATCCTGAGCAGGCACCCTCACTCTGCCAACAGAGGACATGTCACCAGCCAGTCAGGCAGGGTCACAGCCAGTGGCACTGGTCACTGGCCTGAAGCTCCTGGCTGGCGGGGACTGAGAGGCCCAGGAGGGGGAAGTGGCAGGTGCGGGAGGTAGGAGCTGCAGCCTCCACAGAGACAGAAGCAGGGAACCACGAGAGCGTGGGCCTTGTCGAGTGGCCACGGTGAGGGAAGGAGGCCGCGGCCTGCCCAGAGGGCGTCAGGCTGCTTCTGCCAACAGGGCGAGCTTCACGTGCGTGGGTCTGGGGAGCAGGGAAGGGAGTCAGGACCGTCCTTCTGCAGTGGGGCTGCATCCAGGGAGGTGCCGGAGGGCAGGCGAGGCCCCCGGCATGGCCCGGCCCTGGGCCAGCACCTGGCCGGCTGCGAGGGCTGCAGGACATGGGGTTTTCTCTGATGCTGTAGCTTTTCTCAGAAAGGGTGTGAGTCACAGCGAGCTGTGGGGTTAGGGCACCAGGTGGGGCCGGGCAGCCCCTCCCTGTGTGCAGGGGACGAGGAGGTCCCCACAGCCAGGATCGTGCACAGCTGGAGGCCTCAGGCAGGGGGGGGGCTGCGGAGGGAGGTCCTGCAGTTCCCTGCTGGTCGGCTTGTGTCGGCTCTGGGCTGAGGACAGGCCCAGTGGAGTCAGAAGGAACAGAGGAGACTGGGAGGGCCCGCGGCTGCCAGGAGCTGGGAGCAAAGCCCGAGGACCGAGGCGCCCACTCCCAGAGAGCAGGGCAAGGGCTCTCGCTTTCAGGACCTGGCTGTCTCCGAGCCTGACCATCAGCTCTTTCTAGAGAGGCTGATAAACAGACGGAGGCCCAGGCCGCCTGAAGGCCGCCTCAGGGCTCCCCTGCAGGAAGGCTGTCAGCAGTGGGGCCTTCCCGTCCGGGCCCTGCTGTGACCTGTCCCCGAGCCGCTTTCAAACATGGGCTTTTACCAGGCCTGTCCCGTTTGCGTCTCACCAGGATCCTGACCAGGACCACCTGGTCTGTCCAGAACCTGCCCAGGCGGCCTCCGGGGCCTGGGCCGGAAGGACTAGGATGGCCTGCCTGGTGCGCAGCACACAGCTATGGCCCTGGCTCCTTGGGCCATACTCCCTGCCCCACCGTGGCCAAGAATGCTCGGGGTCTGCGCAGCTTTGGTGCTTTCTCTAGTGAGAAGACGTAGCTCGGACGTGAAGCCCCAGGGCTGTGAGCAGCTCTGCTTTAGGAAGTCACTGGACCTGGTGGAGTCAGGCCAACCACAGCATTTTCTGTCTGTGCAACTTTAGCAAGTTACTGAGCCTCTCTGAGCCTCAGTTTTCTTATCTCTAAAGTAAAGGTAGTAAGTCATACCCTCTTTATAGAGACGTGAAGGTAGAAAGTGAATGCAATATGCCGTGCGTATGTGAGCCAGTTAGAGAACTTGCACCAATTAGTACTATTACACCTCGACCGAGCTCTTGTAAACCTAGGCACAGGAGAGGAGACGCGCCGCTGGGGTTCTCCACTCATTCTGATTGTGTTGTAAGGCCGCAGCAGCATCTCCCCCATCTGTTGGCACCCAGCTCACCCCTTCTCTGAATTCTGGGTGCACTCCATGATTCCACATAGGCCCAGGGGAAAGGAGGCTTGGAGCTTGGCATGTTCATGGAATTTTGAATTTAAATTTTTAAAAGATTTCCCCAAAGTGAAAATAATATATAATGTCAATAGTGAAAGGGGAGAATATCAGAAATAGCGTGGCCCTGCGACCCTCCTCAGGTGGCCCGAGGATGAGGGACACCTGTTTGCGTCTCACTGGGATGCTAGGCGGGACCACCTGGTCTGCCCAGAACCCGCCCAGGCGGCCTGGTGGTGCGGGGCGCCTGCGTGTCTAGTGTGTCCACCTGCAACACCAAGCCTCGGTCAGGCTGCTGGAGGACCGGCAGGAGCGTGGACGTGACGCAGCACAAGTTCACCACCGTCCCTTTGCCTTGGCCTCTGCACCGGGCTCTGCATGCCCAGAGAGGCCGCTGGTGCCTGTCCTGCAGGTGAGAGGCCACGTCTGCTGCCACTCACCACCTCCCAGAGCGGCGCTGGGCGCTGGCCGAGGCATGGAACCCGGCTGTAGTCACTTGCTCTTCTCAGCTTTGCTTTTGTTCTCTAACAACCAGACTTGGTTTTCTTGGATGTCCATGCTTTTACCTCCAACAGTGGCCAGCATTGCACCCTGGACTTTACCTAGCAGGGTCCAGGCACCAGAACAACTGTCCTGCATTAGGAGAGCCCGTGTGATCAGCGTTGAAATACCTGCTCCGGGTGCCTATCACTTCCTTCCTCTCTTAATCTGAGATATTTAATAAAAATATGAGGTCACGGAAGGAGGTGAGCACTGTTTCAATCCATAACCAGCCAGCCTGGGGCTCTCCTTTCCTTCTCTGCGCCCCACGCCAGCATCTTCATGCTGCTGGTCTGGGCTCCCCTCATGAGCGTGTCGGATGCTGCTTTCCTGCACATTGGTGTGAGCTGTTCTCGCGCTCGGCCTGCCTTCTTGCTCTGAATGCTCTGGGCACTTCCGTGCACCAGCATCACCTTTTCTTGGCTGTTGGACTTTTGCTTGTTGGACATTGAAGCCGTTTCTGAGGTTTGTCATGGTAGCTGATCCTGCAGGAAAATCTTTACAGATGTAGCTTTTGTTAATTACTTGGGCAAATCTAGGATTGACAATTAAAAGAACGGGTTGAATAAAAAAGCATTTCACAGGACCCTCGACTTTTGTTGACAACAATCCAATTGAGCAGAGGGTGATCTCTAGTTCTCGGGGACCATCTGCAGATGTTTGTGTCCGTCTGAAGGAGGCTGGGAAGGCAGAGGGACAGGGACGCAGGCCAGGGCCTCTCACAGCCCTCCTTGGGGGCCAGCAGCCGGCCCAGAGCCCTGCTCCTCCTCTGTGAGATGCAGAGGTGGTGCCTGTCTCCCACAGGGAGTGTGGAGGAGATGCTGTCCAGAAGGGCCTGTGCGCAGGGTGCGTGGAAATCCTCGGCCACATCTTGCGTGCCTCAGTTTCCCCACCTTCGCAGACACGGCCTCATTTTCCTGAAGCAGCAGAGCAGAACCACTGGCCTAACTGGCTTCCGTTTTCTTCACTGTAAACCAGTAAATTTCCCCTTGTGCCTTAGTGTCCTCATCAGTAAGAGAAGAGGAGGGGGCTGAACATCCCTTTTAGCTATAAAATGCCTCATCTGTGGTCTTGAAGTTGCAGTTTCTGAGAACACTGAGTCCCAGAGCTCTCCACCGGACCCCGCCCCACCTGGGTGGGCTGTGGGGGGCAGAATGTAAGCTGCCTTCTCCGGCTGCTCTGGTTGTTTTATAAACGACTCCCCGACTGGGGAGAGCCAAGGGCGGGGTTTGGAGCTCTCCGCTGGCCCCGCAGGCTGTGCATCTGCCACAGGTTTGAGGGGCCACTTGGGACTGCTGGAGAAGGCCCAGCTTTGCTGGAGGTGGCCGAGTTGCAGGGCTGGAGGTGTTAGGAGTGTCCGTTGGGCTGCGAGGATCATGCCACTCGGCAGCTAATTTTCAGGCATGAAGGGAAGAAAACCGGGAGAAAGCAGGGCAGGCGGGGTGCTGGCCGCCGGTCATTTGCAGAGTCCAGTAGAGATCTTCAGGGGACAAGTGGCAGCAAAGGCAGTAGAAGGGTCTTTTCGTGAGGCTTGGTGACATGCCCAGGATAGATGGGCTCTAGACACGCTTTCCAGGCCTCTGGGCCTACCCAGGACCCTCTGCAGCTGATCTGCTCCATCCTGAGTCCGCCCGCTGAGTTCCGAAGCAGATTTTATGGAATTCTCCTTAGTAAGCACTTATTTCTAGTTTCCTCTCAATTCTTGAAGTAAGAAATAATTATTCTGTTGCTGAATATCTTTATTTACTACACATTTTCCTGCTGAGCATGGAATCCTGGGTTGTCAATAAAGACCTGTTTTTCCCTGACATGTTATTATAGTTTTGAACTCGCGTTTCCCCAAATCCGGTAAACCCGTATTTTCCATTTTACTTTTAATAAACATGCCTATTTTGGAACTTTCCTGAGTGTGGTGGAACTCAGTTTAGTTCCTGCTCCCTCAACTTCTGCAGAGGTAGAAATACGAATGTAAATGAAATCACACTTGAGGGGTGTTGGCCCTGACACGTGCCTGTGATCAGCTGTTGTGGGCCTGTGCCTTCCTCGGCCTGCGTAGAGATTTCCTAAAGGGACAGCTCCCTACACAGACTTGGAGTGGAGACGGCTTTTTTACTGAATCCCCAAGGAGGGGAAGAAGTTGTCTTCTATTTATGTCAGAATTCGCATCTTCCTCCTGGACCCGGGGGTGAAGCGGAACACACAGGTCCCCCTCGTGCTCCGGGTGGAGCAGAGCAAACTACGCGAGAAGGCCGAGGCCCCCAGAGTGACCGAGCGCCCGGAGGCAGACGTGCAGACACCTGTGGCCTGGAGAGGGGTCCAGGGAACGGGAGGAGGGAGGGCGAGGCCAGAGCTCAGACCTGCAGCAGGACGTTCACAGGGACGAGGGTCTGTGGCCACTGCTGCCCTGGCCAAACCGAGGGGTGGGGGAGGGCTCTGGCGTTTGGGTCCCACAGACCCCTCTGCCTCCCTTACGCTGTGACGTCTAGGAGAGGAGCCCCCATCCTGTACTCGGCAGC